TCTAGCAGCTAGGGTAGCGTTGGTGTGGATGGGGGGTTATTTATATCCATCAGCTTTTGATCTGGGCTGTCCATCGCGTTTGATCTGAACCGTCTGATCGCAATTAAATAGGGAGTGAATCTGGATCGTTCATCGTGATCCAATCTGTACCGTTCATCGTGATCTAATCTACACCGTCTGCTCGTGTTCAAATCTAACCGTCAGATCGCGTTTGGGGAGGGAACGCATCTGGGCCGTTTGTGCGGGCGGGAACAGATATGAGTTGTTCGATCGCATGCACGCAGATCACCTGCGTGGCCTCTCGCGTGGCAGCGCGTCAGTGTTCGTTGCCACGCGATGCGTCCTGATTCGTTGGGACTATTGACTAGGCATCCTACGTGGTAAAACTTTTCTAAATTATATTTTGACTCCCAATTTTTGATTTTTCTTTCAAAAATACTCTTATAACTCAAATTTTCACCATTTTTTTAAAAAAATTATTTTGAATTTAATCCTCCATCAATTTTACTTCACTTTTACTCTAAATTAAAATTAAAAAATTAAAAAATTATAGTTATAAATAAATCTTAAACTACATTAAAAATTAATTTAGAGTATTGCATATCGATGATTGGTATTTTGGTGCTCATACTAGACGGAGTATGAAGACAACTCGTTTTACCCTCATACCAGACAGAGTATTGAGGGATAATATTTTTGGCACTCATACTGGATGAGGCATGGGGATAGCCGGTTACTTGAAAATGTTAAATAAGAGTTTACGCGTAGTGGGGACATCCCTATGAACCCCCATTAATACCAGTAGTCAGATAAAAAAGGAAAGTGTTGTTCTGGTTAATTAAATATGAGATTATAATATTGTTTGTATTATTGCTTCTATAGGTCAATTTTGAAAATTTCGTTATGTTAAGTGTAAAATAAATTATTTTACTTATGATAAATAAATTTACTTAAATTAAGAGTTTAATTAGTTGTTTTCATGATTTTTACCAACCTTCATTTTTGTATCGGTGAGTAATGTGATATTTTTGCTGGGTTAGTGTAGCTCACTCTTTCATTAACAATTTTAAATTAAGAGAATCAAGATCCAGATCCCAATCCACAAGAAGGTTGCGAATAGGATATTCAGTTGTTTATTTTTCATTTATTTTTTTGATTATTCGTTGTTATTTTAGAATGGTCATTTCAGTATCTTTATTGAGTATTTTAAATTATTGTGTAAAAAATGTAAACTATAACGCTATTATTTTGCCTCTGCAATTAATTTATAATTTATTTACTTTCAAATTTCAGACCGTTAAATACTTAATTCTAAATCATACTCAATCTTTCAAATTATTTTACATTTATCTCAAAACCATTCAAACTTAAATATTTTTGTCAAATTATGGGTAGTTAAATCGCACGTTAAAACCGAGTTATGATAAAGAACCAACAAAAAATCATATAAAAAGCATGGTGTGTATAAATTTAGATATATTACATATAATTTATCTGAAAAAAGGCCATAAAAATCTCATTTACCTCAAAATTAGTAATTTTAACCAATCAAACTTAAAAGAAAATATAAAATAAAATAAAAAAAAAAGAAAAAAAGAATCAATTTTAGCTACCCTTGCAATGCGTGATCAATTGTTGCTTTTAAGAGTAATACGTGATTAAATTCATGAGATAATCGATTTAAGTAATTGATTAAGACATTCCTTTTGTAAATTTTTTTATAAATAATATTTTCATTAATTTCATGAGTGATCTATTAATTTAGAATAAGTAATCAATTAATTTATAAAATTATTATATTATTTTTTATATTTTATTTTAGTAGATATCAAAACTTAGTAATCCATTTATGTTTTAATTTAATACTAAAAACAGACCCTTCAATGTCGTAAAAGTTTAACATAATCGAAATTAACTTTAAACTTTTTTATGTTTAACATAATAAATTATGAATTTATTAGTAATTAGATTGATTTTATTAAAGAATTAAAATTATTAATTATTTTTCTGTTAAACTCCTCCAATATTAACAAAATAATCAGATTAGAATAAAAGGCAGTGACAGACTGGGTCATCAACCCTCTTGATCGATCTTCATCCTAAATAGAATTACTCACGTTAATACCTATTTAGAGTAATTAATTAAATGAAAAGAAATAGTATTCAATAATATAATAATTTAAATAAATTTAATTTATAACCTACCCTCCATTTCAAAAAAAAAAAAAAAAAAAACTCTTATTCATGTGTGTCTGTATATATATATATATAGAGAGAGAGAGAGAGAGAGACGCATATGACCGACTAATCGACATTGCTATTTGAATTAATAAAAGAAGTTCTGTAGGTACCCAGGAAAGAAAGCAAGCAAGCAATGGGGTTTCGATTTGGAACAACACTCTTCTTATGTTTTCTCTTTTTTTCTTCTGCTACATTATGTTATGCTCGTCATATCACTGTGTTCTCAGGTAATGATTTACTCTTTTTTATGAACATTCATTTAAATTTTTTATGTATTTTTTAAATTTAAAATAATATTAACGTATGTGTGTGTGTGTGTGTATATATATATATATATATATTTTACAGAGAACAAGAAATTAGTGTCAACAGAAATAAACTCATTTAACGCGAACGATTATGAAGAACCAGGACCGAATCCCGGTCATAATCTATCGCCACCTCCCCCTGCGTTGGATCAGATGAATTCAGTTTATAAAAATGAATGATGAAGAAAATGATCCACCACTGTCTCCTGCTTAATGGGAATTACGATAAGTTTATATATTATAATCTATAGATATTTGTATTTTAATTGCTTTATTGTAATTTTCTAATGTTTTGAATTTACGTTATCATCAACCTGCCTGGTGAGAAATATTTTATGTACTTCAATTGAAAGATAAATAAAAATACTCTGTGATCCATGTATGTTCATAATCAGATCTTTTGTTGGAGAGTAATAATATGTTGGGATCTATGATATGATGATAAACTTTATGTTCTGGTTGGGGTCCCATTTCAAAATACACTTATATTCTTCCATCCCATAAATCACGAGATCTCAGCATCATGATGAAGATGAGATTGGAAGATTTCGGTAGGAAGATCAGCCCCGACTTTTCTGCAAACAGAACCGAGGAAGATCAGCCATGAATCTACGATCGCTGACGAGTAGATTTCGCGAGCGGATAAAGTGGATGTTAACAGCTCCTCTCGCCTATAAAAAGAAGAGTCTGGAACGAAGAGAAGAAACCAGAAAAACGAAAAAAAGAGTCTATGAGGGAGGCCGTAAGAGAGAGAAAAGAAAAGAGGAAGAGGAAAAGAAGGGCGAAAGAAAAAAAAAAGATCAAATTTTTTTGCATCAATGACATCATTTATTTTCTATTTTTCTTAGTAAAGTAAA